TTCGATTAGGTGACTCGGACTCGAACTCAGACTCAGCCTGTCATTTCCATCCCACTACCACCATCCAGAGTGTACTCCGCACTCCGCACTTCGCACCACCCTTCCTCACTCATATGCATTGACAATGAAGGCAACCGTGTCCACAAGTGGCCTCTTTCCCTCCCCACTGCCCGGTCGGGTGCTCACTCGATGCAAGCTAAAGGCAAAATCCCAGTTCAGAGAAGTCCACCACTTCTTCTCTCACATCACGCCCTCAATCCGCTTGTCATTCGGAGGGGTGGCAGTGGCACGCATTTGAAAGAAGTCAGTCAAACGCACTAGTTCTTGAGGCTCATCATGCATGTTAAATTGCAACATCAAAAATGCGCAACGGTAAACAAATATGTGTCTTTGGAAAACAAAGCGACATTCATTTAAAGTGAAAACTAAAACTGGGTGATGAGTTTCCCAAATACATTCACAGTGGGGTAAACAAAGGTAATGAAGCCTCGAACACCATCAGCATCGCGTGTATCTTGGTGCAAAGCGTGTGGAACTCACTGCGAATTTGGCAGCCCCATCCATAATGAACAAATCCAAGCTGACTGTTATTACAGAGCTCTGCACAAAGAAAGAGGTTTCTAATTGTGAGTAGGAGTTAATGAAATGCAATGCAAGCTGCAAGGTAGGCATGCAAATTGAATGGGATTACTCAGGATGAAGCTCTCTTGCAGGCTGTTTGAAGCTACGCCATAGCACAATCACAAACAATGCCTAATTCCTCGTTTACGAGCAGCAAAACACTCACTCCACGCCAAATGGTCTATGGTTTTTGCTAAAGTACGTGGTGGGATGGGGGATGAAGGGCAGCAAATGAAGGCAGCCCTCCATTCCTCTTGTGATGCATTAACCAACTAACTTTTGCAATTTTGGCACGACAATGACGGAAACGAGGGCTGTTTCCAGTGACCCGACAATCGCGTTGAACTGCCACCTTGCTCCACTTGATTGCACCACCAACTAAATCGCATTTCCAATGTCACGATGTCGAAGGCTGGCCAACATGCCAAACCTTTGGGGCGATTGAAGAACAGCTTGTGCGTACATCAACCTCAATGCGCTTCGCAAGTGACAGGACAGACGAATAGGCCTGCGTCAGCAAATCTGCTGAAGTAGATTTCATGAAGAAGGAGACAGATGTCTGTCTGTACTGAAGGCGATTGTGTACCAAAACACGCAAGGCAAATACCACGAAGGCTACTGCTACAAGTGCGGTTGAGACAGTCGACATTCCCAACACACTGACTGGTGCATGGCGGGTCTTCTAGCAGCAAGCGGTTGACACACACACACACA